CGAAAAGTAAAGGAAGGACATCTAGCATATCAGTTAGTATTTTATGTGTTTTGAATTTTCCTAAGGATTGCGTTAAAATATTAGAAATTGCTTCAATTATCCGTGCGCGAATTCTAAATTCTGAAAGGTTATTACAAGAATCATGGCAGAACTTTAGAATTTCGAAAAAAAGTATCTGCTATATAGACTATTGTTGGATTTTTCAGACAGTAACAATTACAAAGAAGAAAGTTTTTAAGACATACTTTTAGGGCATATTTTTTGTAATCCAATTTTTTGAAATAATCCAAATTCTATTTGTCTTAAAACATACTCAAATTGATGATTAAAAAGTCTCTAAGAGTAACTTTACTGATACGATACACACTTTACTTTAAAAACACCAATATAAAATATTTATTATACAAAGAAAAACAACCTGGAGACAAGTAAATGATATGGGAGACTGATATTATGTATCACAATACACGACTGAAGGGAATGAGAAGACAATGAGAAGAAAAAAAAAACATACAAAGTTCACAGAAGCGACGGAAGTGCTGCTCGTCGCCCAGAAGTGAATGTCTGGATATCGATGTTGATTAGCGGGGAGAGGGAGAGAATGTGAATGGGGAAATATGGCAAGGTGAGAGAATTTTTTCGAGTGAATTCGAAATTTTTTCGTTGTTTTCATGGGGTAGGAAGACTCGTAGCAAACGATATGAATTCGTTGACTTGAAAATCGTTATATAGTTTGAAAATATCTAAGATTAGAGTGATTTTACCAAGATTAGATGAAACATCTTTGAAAAGATTCATGTGCCTAATTTTAGAAGAAGCACTCATCAACTAAAGATCCCAATTAGTCCTCATAAGCTGTTCACTGCCCTATAAGTTATCATAAGAACGGATTACGCCAACCTTAACGAATCATTATTTTAGAGATATTTGCTACCCCTAGGTTTTGCTACGGGCTTTCTGACCCCACAATGAAGTAATAAACCGGAAAATGTAAAACTTTGGTTTTGAAGCACGAATCGAGCTAAAGCTATTCAAAGAAATCCTTCTGCCCAAGACTACCAGCCGGCCATGGGATGGGCCTTCAATTCCGTTGAATACATCGACGGAAGCGGTTGGTATCCGCTCATATCGGGGTCGAAATCGGCAGGTAGCAAGGAGGTTGGAATGGCCCCCACAATACCGCCACCCGTGCCTGGCATCGGGGAATTTCTTTCGCCAAAACCATCTGCAACAGGTGGATTTAGAGTTGAGTTGAAGCCAATAATATCCAATATTTCATCTGTTTCATTAATAAGTAAGTAAAGAAATCAACCTAACCGTGGACTAAAGGATGTGGAGCGTCAGATGCAACAGGAAAAGCTGGCAGTGGTGGAAGTGGTCCTCGTTCCCCATATGGATCACAGAAGAACCCAATCGGATGTTGAGCGAAAAATCCCGGCGGAGGGCCTTCTGCAAGAAGATTCTCAAGTCAAGTGTTTTCCCTCTCTCGAAGGCTCAATCGTGCGTATGGTAATCATCGGTTTATGATGGTGTCACCTGCGGTCTACGCATTATGACGCAACCGTCGTAATCACGGCAATCAACGTAAGGCTGGCACTTGCTCAGCTCATCTCACAGACGTCACGACAACAAAGGTCACTAAGGTGAACGGCACTAAATCTGCG